CTTTCCATAGTATAATCACCGTGCCTGGATCCAGCTCCTGCCTATCAGGAAAAACCTCAACCTTGTTCTTCATATTATAAACAAATGTTAACTCATCAATATGATCTTTTAATGATTGCTAGGCCACATTTATTCTGAGAATAAATATCTATCTTGTACTGGGAATGATTTTCTCAATATAATAACACACAAAGAATATGTTAAAAAGAGAATTATTTTGGTTTTGGGGGTTTTTTTTGGTCTTCCTGTGGGAAATATGTGAGATACTTGCAGAAGTATTACGAAGTAGCTAGCCAACTCCATACCCTAAGGGAGACATAGGAGAACCTTGACATAACCTATTTTTAACCATGCCTCTGGCGATTCTGCATTCAAGTTTATAGGTGAACATGTCAGGTAGTACATAGAAAAAAAGCCAAAGACACACAGTATTAATCATAATTCTGTCCAAGCCCATTTTATTTTTTCAACATTTATGATTTAAAATCTCATGACATTTCTTCAAGGTGAAATTCTTCTACCGGACTTTTCAACAGGGTAGGACTACATTTATCTAAATTAAATATTGCTTATGGTAGAGCTCTCTAATGCTTCACGGGATAACCAATAAACTCAATGCTGTTCATATTAAAATAATTTAAGTTTGTATTCAGCTAAAGAAGCTTTAGTGATTAGCAATACACTATTAATACAGCCTTTAAATAAGACTATCCTAGTATTGCTGGATAAGAACATTGTTCTGTGAGTGTATACGAACATCATAATTATTTTACGACCTCATCTTTAGTTCTTTCAGATATAGTAAATTCAATTGACCATGAAATGAAATTTCATAGTCAAAATGCCTCCTTTACATGTTTTTTATTGCTGCAATAAAGTTTTTATAGCTCCAAGGCAAGGTAATTCATGAAATGTCTAATTTAAAGATGAATTCTAATATTATTAATAAATATTTACCAGTTTAATAAAGTGCACATTTTTCACATAAAATATGATATAATGTTTTCATTTTCTATTTTTGAAATACAGATTAACTGCTGGAAAATTTGAGTACTAAAGAGAGCTATGTGAGTTCAGGGGAAAGCGATGCAAGGACCCTCTGCTAATGCTTTTAAACTTCCTGAAGCTACCCAGCATTTATGAGCAGAAGAGGAAAAGACTACTGACTCAAATACAATGGCAGGGGTCACTCCATCTCACAGCATTAAACAAATCAAGCAGTTGTGGGGAAGCGTCTGACACACGAACCTCCCTACTTGGCTCTTCCGTATCAAATCACACGATTCCTCATCAAGTCTCTGCAGCAAAACTACACACGAGTTCCCAAACCACAGCTTTGAAGTGGTACTCGCCCTAGAAAATATCACCGGACTACTGGGATAAGAAGGCAGAAGCTTCTCTAGAGCTTCTCTTTGACCTAGACGGGAACAAAGTCTTACGATTGAAGTCAATGGAAACTATGCCATTAACGTCTAGAAAAAAGGAAAGATGTAAAGCCTCTCACCCAGTGGAAGAGGGGGCAAGAGAAGAGATACCTAGCCCGGAGGTCGGTTATTGTTGGAATTTGTTGGAATTGTTAAGGTGACAGTCCTTACTCATGGAAGAATTGCATTCAGTGAAGCATGCCAAATCAAAAGGTAAATCTGATACTTGATAACATTGAGGGGACACTCATACACGTAACACAAGACTGATCCAGCCCATGATATTTATGACATATTTCTGAGCAAGGTTCATTGGATTCAGTATGCACACACTCCATTATTTTAATTTTCAGGCATAACATTCCTGACTCTCGGGTTTTATTAATCTTTTCTTTCTTTTGTAATCACTCAACATGTCCAGAGTATAACAAAATGGGATCTGAAAAGAAGGATCATAGCCTCCAAAGGCTGTTTTAGCCAGCCCCTGCTTTGTACCTATGGCATTACTGAATTCTGCACCTCCTCAGTAGTGAGCAGTTTGTGCTTAATTCTGTACTAGTGCTAGCTGCTCTTCATGACCTCCAATGAGATATTAAAATTTGCAACAAAGCCAGCAGCCCAGAAAATTCCAGAGAAGTATTTGCTCCATGTTGATCTGTAAATCTTTAATTAATTTTTGCTTCCCAGAATAATAAAAAAGAAAAAAAGATTTACAGGAAATCGTAAGATGACAACATGATGACTTTTACTACAGTCCAGCAGTAAATCACCAAATTTAGCAAAAGGTCCTATAAAACAACTAATCAGAAAAAACACAGAAGATGTAAAATATCTGTTCAAGCTAAACATTCACCCTGTCTTCAATATGCCATACAGAAACTAATTCTAATTGTAACTATTGCGTTTAAAATACTAAGTATGATAAACTGACTCAGAGCTGTGCCTCATCATATGCAAATATGAATGTGACTGCACAAAGCTTCAAGAAACCCAAGCAGAGAGGTCCCCCAAAGCTGAAAGGGAAATACAACAAGAAAGTGGAAACTGCCCCGTAAACCCACTGAGATCAATGCCACACAATGTATAGATTCTGGAGAAGACTACGTGCAGCCTTGGTTTTGATAGCCCTAATTAACAGGAACAATTACTGGAATTAGCCTAAAAGTCTCCATCACTCAGCCCTTCCCCACTGCTGGATCGTCCCTCCCCATTCCGGAGGGCTCGGAAACAGCCCAGGAACAGGCGAACAGACCCAACCTGCCCCAGCCCCCATGGTCAACAAGAGCACTGGCCAGAGCAGTCTTTTTATGGCCCTGGATTTCTGAGTATGGTCAAGGTAATACATCCCTATCACTTCTATGATGAGTTTAAAAAAAAAAAAAAAAAAAATCAATTTCCATTTATAAAGATTTAGCCCATGGAATATACAGGATATAAGGAAATACAGGGTTTTTTACTGCTGGCATACTGTGCCTGGATCCCTTTCTGAGCTACTCTCAATACTGCACTTTCAAAATATCCCGATGGCTGTCAGATGTGGGTCCTACGCTTGAAATACAGACAAGTAATTCCTTCTAAATGCTGTAGTTCACCCTGGCCAACACAATGGTCTTTCAACTCTTGATGCCAGTGTCTACTGTATAACAAGTTTCTGAACTTCAGCAGCATTTGGGATGCACATGATGCCAATGGACATGGGCTTCCACGTCCATTCCCAAAACGAAAATGCTGTGTTTATAAAGCCTGACTGCTTCTTCACAAGAGATCTGTTCACACACAGTATAGCATTGCACTCTACATTAAAGCCACGTTTATCTTCCTGAATCCACCAATATTAAACCTTTAACCATTTGCCAACTGCCTTAGGGAACTGAATAATAGCATATCACTGTTTGCTGTGTAACACTCACAACACGCGTCATCATTCATACAGAATACGCCCGTACATAACGCAGAACATTGGCAAATGCTTGGTCAGGCTACAATAGCAAGAAATCATACAGATCTTCCAAGAGGTCAATTAAAACTGATAGATGACACAAATCTACATTACTATGCTGTGACAGACAACATCAGGCAACAGAAACACACGAAGAACCGGACCTACCATATGCAATCCATTGCTGTGGATAACGCCGTCTTGCTCCACGAGATTTCGGGATATTGTAATAGAGGGAAGATCCAGGCTCTGAGGGGGAAACTGAGGTGTAAATTCATTTCCTTGTGCAGGCAGCTGGTCACCGAGGCCCTGGAAGGGCAGCAGTATATCCGCCATCCCCAGTGCAGGGTCTGACTCGGGCGGGGGGGTAATGGGTGGGATTTCGAACTCCTCGTCCCCGAGGCTCGGCGTATGGAACGTCTGCTAGAAAAGGACAGGACAAGGCAAACCACATTAGGGCACGCCGCGCTCAGCACCCACCTTCGGACCAGCACTCCAAACCTTGCTTTGTTCTCAAACGCAAACTCCACACGCAACTAAATTTTTAAGTTTCATATACTGAAGGGGTTTGTGGATGGTTCTGATTAAAGATTTAAGACCCATTATTATATGGCTTTAATGGAGTATCAGTATTAACAGTTTTTTAATGCGTACTTAATTAGCAACATCTGTCTTTGTTGTTAGTCTGAATATCAGCTACATTGGATTTGGCTGTATAACAAATTGCCACTTTATTGATACGTTAGTAAAATAGCACAAACAGCTTACATTACTCTCATGCTTCATAAAATACTGACAATTTTGTAGCGCACACACAACATTAATTCAGCACTGACCATTTCACATCTTTTGTTTCCTTTTTATCCACTAATAAACAGGAAATATTATAATTCTGGTCTTTATTTCTTTTCTTTTCCATCCCAAAAGTACAATGCACTCTTTTAAACAAGGGTTGTAAATTGGAGGAGACACATGTATGAAAGAGTGAGGGAGGGTGATTACGGCAGGTTCCAGTGCTTTCTGAAGCAAGCCAGCTTTGTTTGAACAGTAGGTTTGTTACGAACTAAACACCTGTTAAGATGCCTTGAGCAAAACATTTACTGCCAGTTATCTTCAGGGTTTGTGCGTGTTTGTATGCGCGCATGAGCCTGTCAAAGATAATCTTTATTCGAGTGGAGTCTGTATCTGGCTTCAACACTGCTGACTTTTATTTGGGAAACAAATGAGCTACGCTTATTCAAATTTCTTGCGAGTTAAATGAAGTTTCATATATTATTTCAGGTCCACTGCTACTTAATAATAGAAATTCAGTGCTTGAAATTAGGCCATTTTAAATGTGCCCAAATCAGGACTGTCTTGATCAAATTGGGCAGTTGGCAATCCTAAAATAGGCACTCTTGTCGTCTTCTGGACATGCAAGGCTGCTCTGGGATTTGTTTGTTTGCATTAGTTCAGGATTCAAGTTGGGGGGGGGGGCAATTGTTTTATGTATTATTTACATTGTTTGAGAGAGTGACTTAATGCCAGTTAATTTAAAAATGATATGTTCAGTGAAAGATCTCATTAACTGCTGCAAATTGTCATCCTTCAAACTGTTAATGATGATATAAATTAATAACCGCTTGAGAGAAGATGGAAACTGAAACACAAGAAAAACCTTTGCCTGCATATAGAACCTGTCAGCTGTCATTATTGGTCTCACACCAGAAATGATGAGGTCCCAGACTGCTGCAGTCTGCAGCACCGTCAGAGCCCGCCGAGACTCTACCCAGCTCGCTCGCTCTGCAAGACTGTAACTTAATTCTGGATGCGAAAGCTGGGCCTGGATTAGGGAGACGTTTGACTTCCCCGCTGCTATATTGCAAAAGGTGTGAATTTTTCTTCCTGTGGACCCCGTAGCTCACAACCACAAAGGATGGATTGGCCAGGAGAAGTGCTTGGCTAATGAACATAACCCTATGGCTGCATTTGCAGTTATTTTGGCACTAATGTGGTCTAGTAACAGATGCAACTGTAATTTGTGACTCATTTGCTACCCCATTACTGCTTAATGAAATCTAACATATCACATTAACAATACGGATAAACACTCATTCTTGATATGTGGCATTTGGCTGTTTTCATTACCACTGTAATTAACATTTGAAATATTATTTCAATAAATATTTAAGGTGCTTTAAAATGGGTCGTAGTAATCATGACATAGAGACAGAAAACATAAAGCAAATGTGTGGCTTCTAAGCCCGAATGTGCTCTAAGATTACACTCTTAAGGCATTATTTACAGGAATAAAATGGGCTTCTAGCTCAGCAGTGCTCAGGCCCAAAATCATAGCGAGAAAGCTCCACTCACGCTAATGCAAAACCACTATAATTAAATACATTGTAATGCAGTAATTGCAAAGTTAGGTTCACGCTTTAATGCGAACACTAACACTTAATCATATTTTTATTCCTTGTTCAAGCAAAGGGTTCAGTGAAATCAGTATTATTATAGTACATTTGAACCTCTCTTTACTTGACGTATTTATGAGATAGTAGTAATTATAAGAACTGGAATTTTTTTTCCCCATCTAACGGAATAACTCTAGGACAGCTGTATAAATGTATAACACAGCTAGATAACAATACAATATTTTACTTCGAAAAGTAGCATTCATCTTAATACTTACAGCTTACTACAAATGGGAAAGTAAATTGATGAATACCTTAACATTTTTTAAATGTGAATTTAATTCGCACAATAGAACTTGTCCAAATATGTATATATGTATTTTTTTAAAAAACATATAACCGACCTAAGAAGGAGGATGAAACAGATGTAATCTAAGAAGAAAGAAAACCCCTTAGTGAAGTAGTCCTAAATCCAAATCACTGGGCTATTCAGGCTGCAAAAAGAGCCTGAATAGTATGCAATTTGGGATTGCAGAAAGGTGCTGTTATGACCAAAAGATGGTATACCATTTGTGGGATTTATCCTACCAATCACGTTTTTAAAAGTTATTAACTTTTCAAATATTTATATCTTACACTTTTTTTTTTTTAAAAAAAAAACACCACTGTGTGCATGGTTAAATGCCATCTGTACTGAAATGTTCAAAACATTTGTTCCTTTTGATAAAAATGCAAATCTGGAGAACTGTTGTATCAACATATAACAGCCAATGTCTGACACGGTGAATTATCACAGCTGGAATTAAATTGTCTCTGAACAGCTGCTGGCAGCAGAGCTTTCATCAATGTTTGATTCAAATGTAGGAAAGAAATTCTACAGAAAGAAACATCATGTTGTCATTACAGATGGGGTTTGTGTTCATTATCACAAATAACACTGGAGCTAGTGCCAAGCAATATTCCCTTATCTAAGCAGTCTTGCTGGGTATAAAGAGATGGTGACCATCGTATAAATGATTCATACAATACGACTGTTAATTCTAACCTTCATATTTATTGTTACACCTTTCTGCTTATTTTCTCCGAGATCGCTTTTTTAAGAAGCGCAAAAAAATATCTGCGACTGAATCATCACTTACATGTAACACCAAGGCTGCCCAGGTTTCTAACCTTTCCTCATGTTGGGAAGATCATTTATGGCATGCACCCTGTATAAACACTTAGTTCTTGTTCTCCATATTGCTATGCACATTACTAGACGGTGCATCTTGCATTTTCGATCCTTCCCTTTCCTGTTGGCTTTTAGTGATGAGCCAAAGGTGCTTCTGTCTGGAGCTGGGGTCAGTATTAGCATGTTGATGGTCTATTAACCGGCTGTAAGGCGGCACCACTCCAACAAATACACGGAGACTGTAGTTGCCGTACCTTTCTCCGGTTTCCATTCCCAAAGGCAGCGATCAAATAGATCACCTCCACAACGCAGCCAGCCTCCACCAGCCCGGCCCCGCGTTTGTTCTGGATCCCCGTCCCAAGTTCCCTTCATGCAGCACGTACGCTTCAGGCAAGGAAGTTGCTTTTGGTTTTCTAACTTACACCAGTATTAAGAACCCAAATTAAAATGTTTGTATCTATAACAGAAATTAGCACATTAGCTAGTAATGACTATCGCTAAGCTTGCTTTCAAATTCTACACCTACTGTGCTTTTTATTTGTTTCCTTCTGTTTATAATTTTTTTTCATACATAAAGCAGATTTGTTTCTATTGACATGCTATGTAAGTAACAGCCTTATGGACAGCTAAATTGACTAGTAATGGAGAGCTGTCAGGTTATTTTCTTTCTCATTAAAGTCTTTATTTTGTGCTCCATAAAACACACAGAAATTCGGCACTTCACTCTTCATCCATTCAAAGTCTGTTAAATTATCACAGCAAACAGCAGAGTATGAGCATAGAGAAAAAAGAAAAACATCTACCTCATTTGCAGCAAGAAATGCATTATTTGCCTCTGCCATGTTCATGTAGTTGTTATTGTTTCCAAACTGAAAGAAAAAATAAATATTTGGATTTTAATGCAGGCCACGATAAACTTTTCTTTACCCCATCACTGGCATAGAAAAAGATGAAAATAAAACAACAAAAACAAAACAGCAAACAGATAAAATGTAATTTTGCAGATGTTCTCTGAAGTCAGAACCAGATTGCATTCGACATCATTATTATTATTATTATTACATACTCGGCATCCCCAGGTCTGTACATGGAAGATATCCAAGGGTATCGCTTCAATTTTCTCTGTCCACATAGCAAAGCCACCCCACAGACCTAGAGGTGACTTTGGAAATTAAGTGCCCATTAGAAAGAGACTATTCTCCGGAAAAGACCTTTCGACTCTACTACATCTTTCCTGACACGGAAATATTATAATATTCCTGCAGATGATCCTGATCCGGAGGATTGCAGCAGCCGAGAGTAGCTACTATTCCAAATAGACCTGGTTTTACACAGATGAGGTCAATAAGGGGAAGAATGAGAATCTGCACTTGTTGTTCTTAAAATCCCATTCTTTCCACAAAGTTAAAAAGCCAAACAATCCCCCTTTGTCCATCCTTAATTCCAGTTCAGCTCCCACACCCCCAGCGAACAGTAACACCGAAGATTTTGCAAATCTGAGAAAATGTCTCACACCAAGACCTTGAGATCCACCCAGGGTGGAGTGGGCTATGTGCCCACTTGCTCCCACTGAGCTGCAACTCCTCTCACATACGAGTGACCTGAAAGGATCCCCTCGGATGCCGTGGAGTCGTTTCCTCCAGATTCTCAAGGATGAACATGTGTTGAAGAAGGTAAGCACTTTTTCTTTCACAGACCGAACATAGGAAAGAAAGAGATTATCAGCATTTGGTGAACTGGCACTTGGTGTGCCTTATTCCCTTAAACAGCACTTCCAAGAGCCCGTAGTCTGGTAACTATTTCTGCACAGGTTCCCAGAGCTGGCAGGCGTCTAGAGCCTTTGCTTCAAGGACCAGACACCACGCGTGTCATGCAGCTACCACTGAAACATTATATCACTGGCTTTCACATTTTCATGTTTCTATTATCAGGCACAGTGCACGCTGCAAAGCGAGAGTATCAAACGAGAGAAAAGCCCCTGTGCGGTCCCTGCAATGCCCTGCCACATCGCTGCTGCCAAAGCCACGCTAAGCACTCTGCCCTTAACTCCCGTGTTCGAGTTCTGTAGAGCAAAGTTTTTCAGGAAGGCTTTGTTTTATCTTGGCAGACCTTGGTGGACCTGCCCCCTGCCCCCAACCACAACCACCACCAGCATAAGCTCTGCGACAAGTGCACAGATTGCTCTTTCCAAGCAAGAAACTCTGTTGTGCTTTTAGAGCAGCTGAACCTGTCCCGAAAGGAAAACCACTTTGCTCCAGTAAAATTTGCTACTGCAGTACTTGGTGCCTGACTGGTTTCAGCCGGGAAGTGTTTCAGACCTTGCCTCTCATCCTAGAGCAGTGCGGGGGCCCAGAGTGATCCTTTCATGAGAGGCTCTTTACCTGAAAACTCCAAAATCCATTTCTGAAAATAAGACCAAAGGAAAAGAAAAAAAAAAAAAAAAAAAAAAGAAGAGGAGGAAACTATAGTGATAGAGGATGAAAAATGGAACATGGACACAAAGAATGGGAGCCTCATGTACCTGATGAATTGTCTGATTGACAAAACAAGACATCTACAAAATCAGATGACAGTCATGGGGAGGAAGGGAGATGAGATGAGATTCCTCATTCTGAAGTACGAAATTCCATTTGTGTACTTAACATGCTGAACCTTTCAACCTACAACACATGTTAAGCAACAGAGGCCTTAACACAATATGTAGGCTGCCTCATAGCTATTAAAACTCTGTTATCCCCAGCTATGCAGATACTCAAGTAATGTCATCCATTTTTTTAAAAGCCCAGATGTCACCCATTTTGGGAGATTAAAAAATTCAAATAAAATTGCACATTCAAATTACTGTTTTGGCACATAAGGATGTGTGTGCGTGGATTTGTTACCCAAAGAGATAGTACTTCAGCTCAACAGTAAGATCGACAGGATAGATTTTTTTCACGTTAGTTAGTGGCAAACTAAGAAGGGTTTACATGAAAAACTCAAATAGCTCCAACAGAGCTGTTCTTTCTGTGGTAAGAAAAAAAATGAAATCAGGTTTTCAAATGATACCTAAGTGCAAAGGTACAAGAGGCGAGTATAGCTCTAACACTGGATAAATAAGTGGGAACAAATCCCATCCTATTTTAATGAGCTTGGCATCCTAGGGGCTCCAGTGCCTCAAAATGGAAATGTAGCTGATTTTTACCTTTAAGAGTAAAATTCTACATTGTTTTCATCTACATGTATTCCATACACCACAGCTACTGCTGCTTTGATTGCCAAGTGGTTTTCTTCCTTTTTGTTTTATTCAAGTAAAACAAAGGGGAAAGTGACAACATAATTTTCCATTTTATTAAGACTGCAGAAGCAAATGACGTAACAAGGAATGTCAAAGCTAAAAGCTACAAGTACATATCCTTAGATTCATTCTGTTCTTGGGCTACAATATTTAAGACCCTATTGTGTATGACAGGCACTGATGTCAGAACCTAGCAAATTTAGGCTTTTGTTAGTATGGATCATAACTAATATTATTTAAATTTATTTTTTGTCTCTGAATTAGAAATCCATTGAAGGTACACAACAATTATCAGTGAGCATTTCTAAGATTAAACTTCCTTATTATCTAATGGTACCTATAACAACAAAAGAAAATAAAATGGTTATTATCTTAAGGACCTAAACAATTCAAAAAACAAATTAAGCTTAGAGTGAAATAAGAACTGGGTTAGAAATCCTCTTCTGAACAGTTAGTCCGCGAATGTAATTACTGAAGAAACTACAGCTAATCAGCTGTGAATTGTATCCATTAATTAGTATTTGCCCTGGAGAAATGAGAAAAATCAGTAACAATGTTAACACTGCAATGCACTGATGAGTACTGAAACACAGGGCCCTCAGCATTTAGTCAAGCAGGTGGCTCCAATGGTCCAAGTAATTTAAAAAGCTCTCACCTGAAGTGCAGAGCTGGAATTACAAAGCACTTCTTGCATATCTTTGTATCTATATAAGGCTATAATTAATGGCTTTTAATTTAGAAACACTTTGTGATCAGCTGGGAACAGTTATAAATCATTCTAAATAGAACGAGGGGTTCTTGTCTATTTTAGTAAAATAACTTGGAAAGATGTTTTTAGTGAAATGACTCTTGTTGCAGTCAACATTTCTCTCCATTTATTTTCCAAAGGATCCCTTGCTCAGACCCCTCAGACCCCTCAGAACATTCCTATAGTGGACAGCAGGCACTCACATTTAAGGCAAGACCCAGCCATGTGGTCTGCCCCGGTAGACTCCTGTGGGGTCTACCTGCTGGATTTCCCTGGGACCGAGAGAGACAAGAGGCAGCACCTAGTCCGGCTTTTTGTTTTGTGCTGGCGCTGGGATGCTTTGCAAATTACTTAGCCATAGCAGTTAGCGACGTTTTGCATAAACTATTGCACTTAAAGATCTCAGAGCACCCTCGCTCTATAACTACAAAAGAGTAAAATCTTTTCAGCTTTTTTTGCCAACACATACCACTGCATTGCAAACTACTATTTGTTTCCTTTGATTTCAGAAGTTCACGAAACTCCATCTTAAGTTCTGATAAACATATTGAACACGAGTACCACAACAGCAAACCAACGGAAACCACACGCACATGCTGATTTCATGAAATGGATTGCGAACAAATGGTACCTCTTCTGAACTTGTTGTGAATCACAGCTTTCAGTCTTCACGCAAATCACTGCATTAAAACTATGACAGTTCGCTCCTCATTTATGTTGCAAAGGCCCTTGAACCTTGGCCCTACTAAAATCCGTATGAACCAACACGAAGGCTGTGATGAGAGAGACCGGATGTTTGCTTACTAATACCTTGTATAAAGAATGTCAAGAAAACGGATTATTTCTCAAATAGCTTGTTGAAGCTCCTCTCTTAGCTTTCACTACCAAACCTGAAGCCCAACATCCAGCCCTATTCATCTTTTCTAGGAAGGGTATATATTTGCAATGCTAAGAGAAAATTCACACCCTCTATTCCTTCCCCAACACACGCCCTAACGAAGACCAAGCCAGCTTCTGCCCAGGCTTGGGGATATAAAAACTGTATCACTGCCCCACTTCCACAAACTGCATGTTTTCATGGCTAAACCACGATGTAGACCAAACCTCCTGGGCCAGAGGTTATGCTACCTGTTTGTAAATCAAGGAATTCGCCACCTTGAATCAGCGCAGCACAACGCTGCTTGGGTTTTCAAGCTATCCTTTGCACACACCAGAGCTTAAAAATTGGTTGGTTATGAAAGCTTTGAGACCAATGAATGGCTGTTTTAAGAAAGAAGTCTGATATTATGAACTTCATAGAAAATCTTGGCAGCTGGGGATACAAATCAGTGATTAAATCTCCACAGAGTCTCAACTCCTACTGAAAAAAAATCTTCAGAAAATCTCAAAAAGTTAGATAGTAGCTACTGCCTGGGTTATTCTTTTGCAATGAGTCGAAAACCACAGAACCATAATATTAAAAAAGCATAAAAAGTGAAGCCAGTAACTACTTTTGAAGGTCTTACGGACACACAGAATAAGACTTTGAACCTATGAAAGTTAATGGCAATTTTGCTACTGAGTTTAATAGAGAAATTATTTTACTTACAATAGTTAGTCATTAGTATTTATTACAACTTTCTCCATTTCTGTCTCTAAATCAACTCAGTTGTGGTGCAAGTCTAATTTGAAAAACATTAGAACTCACACCCACTATCCATTTCCTAAAAAGTGCAAATACAGAAATACGTAAGTAACTTAAAACCAGACATAGAGGAGCCCAGACTTTTATCTGAGCATCTCAATGGAAAAATTAATTTTTCTACTACTAGTATTTTTATGCTCAACAGTAAAATTAGATTCATTGGGCAAATACATTAGATTTTCTAAATCTTTTTTTATAACAATGCTGTTTAATTTGACAGTGCAACCACAAGGAAGAAGAAACCACTGGAAATGTTATTGTTCTAGCACAGAATACCACCAAAACCATGGAATGTGAATAAATGTCTCAAATAAAATATTTAAACAAAAATATATCCAGAACAGAAATGAAACATGTGTTATCATCTTCTCATAACTAATCAGGAGACTCACATTTTGCTTAAAAGCAAAATGATGGCAATTC